CTCACACATTGACCTGTACAGCCTCTGGATTCACATTCAGCAGCTACTGGATGGCCTGGGTCAGACAGGCTCCTAGAAAAGGACTGGAGTCGGTTGCTGGTATTTATGACAGTAGCAACATCTACTACTCTCAGTCAGTTCAAGGCCGGTTTATCATCTCCAGAGACAACAGCAGACAGCAGCTGTATCTGCAGATGAACAGTCTGAAGACTGAAGATTCTGCTGTTTATTATTGTGCTCGAGACTCTCAGTGACACAGGAAGGACCAACGGCATACAAAAACCTCCAGTACTTATCTTTACTGGGCTTTTACTTTTGTTGTTGTTGTTTTGAAAACTGAAAGATTATTATTACCACCAAAATAAATCATTAAAAACATAAAATGTTTTAATGATCAGTTCCTCACAAAACAGCCAAGGGCAGCACAATAATCTGAAAAATGTATCAAATAAATACTATATTTACACATGTCAGGCATATTAACCCTCATCTGGACATATCAGGAGTACTGACTGGGGTCCATGGGGAGCCAAGAATAAACTACTACAAGAGAGAGCCATAAAAATGTTAACTTTCTTTTTAAAACATATAGTTGTGCCGTAAATGTCATCTGAAAAGAAACAGAAAATTATTATTTGGGGATTAAGTTTCTCTCTCCTCTGTCACTATAAGGAGACTCTCATATCTGCTTATCTCACTGATCTCAACTGACTGACACTCAAACCCTGGACTGAACTAGAGTTTTATACTCACACCCTTTGTGAGCTCGCTTCACCACAACACTAATAGAACATTTGAAGTGCTGGATCAGCAGTGACTGCAGCTTCATGTGTTCATTTATAGTTGTAGATCACCATTTCAAAGATGTTTCAAAATAAAGACTGAAGGAGCTGCTGTTTATTCTTGTGTTTGTTGAAAGTTGAATGAATAAGTGTTACTGCAATAAGACAAACATTCAATTCCTAAGTTCTTGAAGGAAAATGTCTTACTTCCACATGTTTCCTCTCTCAGCAGTAATCCACCTCACTGAGATGAGGATCAGTTTTGAAATAAAAGTGTATGAGACAACATATTCTTACTCTCTGTCTCTCAAAAATGGAAATGTGAAAACTGACAAACACACAGAAAAAGGAGAAAGACTGAAAAACATCTTTAATGTTGGTGTCTCTGTTTTAAACTCACTCTCTCGTCAGTCAAACACTTTCTCACAGATTTAGTCTTTATGTATCAACACTGTATCTACACAATCATTGAAGTCAATATAAAGTTTTCTCTGCTGTTGCAGAGATACTCAGCGTATGAAAATATATCTATCACATGTTCCCTTTTTAAACCTGTAGAGGAAGGTCTATGCAAACTCTTCCTCTCTTATAAACACTCCATCAGCAAGAACACTGGGACAGATTTATATATTTACTGAAACACTCAGATCAGAGAGCACTGAACTACAGTGTTTATCTCAGAATGGAAAATACAATGATCTGGAGTTTATTATTTGTCGTTACTATTCAGGGTGAGAGAATCAGTTCAGCTTTACATCTTTTCTAAATGTCTAACCGGTGATTAACAGATTCATTGGATAATGATCACAATTTGTTTTCTTAGAGGAGTTTGGAGTGAGATCAAACTGGACCAGACTCCCTCTGAGGTGAAAATACCTGGAGAGACAGTGAAGATGTCATGTATCATATCTGTTTATAGCATGACAAGCGGCTATTTTGACTGGATTCGACAGAGGCCAGGGAAAGCTCTGGAGTGGATCGGTGACATGAATTCAGGTTCAAACTCTCCTACCTATTCCAGCTCCTTTCAAAGTCGTTTCATCATGACTGAAGATGTACCCAGCAGCACTCAGTACCTCGAGGTCAACAGCCTGACAGCAGAAGATTCTGCTGTTTACTTCTGTGCTCGAAGAGACACAGTGACTGAAGACAGTGGAGCAGCTGCACAAAAACCTCCACAGACAACAAACAGCAGTGTGATCTTGATATCTGGGTTTTCTCCCCACCACCTGCAAAAGCACTATCATATATCCACATTATATTTCTATATAGTACTGTAAACTCATGAATAAATAATTATTTTTATGATGTTAAATCATTCACAATAATAGAATCCCTTCAAAGGGTTATTCATACTAAATGACCTATGTCACATTCACAAGTACAAAACATAAATTTTGTGAATTTAATTTGAAAAGACTTGCATCCTCATGTGCTGCCCAATATGCTTAAAGGGAATACTGAGAAGCCATAGTCCCAAGATGAATTATACGTTTTGTAATTTCACACATACATTGTTTGTAAGTGTGATAGATTTCTGAATTCAATTTATTAAGCTCCATCAAAATAAATGTGGGAAATATGTTTGTGGTTTTCATACATAGATATTTTACAGCAAAACACGTCTGGACATTTGGACTGAACATTGATTCTCCAGTTTAACCAAACAAACTAAAAGCCAAGTCCAACCCTGTTCTCTCCTCCCTGTGAGGAGGAGTTAATGCAAAACTCAGATGTCTTCCACCTCTACTTATCTGACTGCAGAGAGGATGACAGAGAACAGTGGACACACAGTTTAACATGATGGACTATAGGACAGGACTGCTGCTGTTAACTATCTGCTGGGCAGGTGAACATCTTCAGTGATCTTTAGTTGAAGTTGTCTTCAAAACGCTTCCAACTTAAAGCAACTGACCACTTTATATTTGTTTTTGTCTTGACAGGTGTTGATGGTCAGACTCTGACAGAATCTGAACCAGTGGTTAAAAGGCCTGGAGAATCTCACAGATTGACTTGTACAGCCTCTGGATTCACATTCAGTGACTACGGGATGCACTGGGTCAGACAGGCTGCTGGAAAAGGACTGGAGTGGATTGCTTATATCAGCAGTGGCAGTAGCAACATCTACTACTCTCAGTCAGTTCAAGGCCGGTTTACCATCTCCAGAGACAACAGCAGACAGCAGGTGTATCTGCAAATGAACAGTCTGAAGACTGAAGATTCTGCTGTTTATTATTGTGCTCGAGACTCACAGTGACACAGGAAGGAGCAACGCTGTACAAACATTTACAGTACTTATCCTCACTGGACTGATTATGAGAAATATTTCTGTTTATGATCTTTTGTTGTTGTTTTAAAAATGTAGAAAGATCATCAACAACAATAACCATTTAAACCCATTAAATTCTGTAACATTCACTTCCTCACAAAACAGCCAGACAGCACAGCAGTCTGGTTGCTTAAATAAATAATAATTAATAATTTATTTTCTTATCTGTCAAAATAAATACAAACATAAATAAATAAATGCCCATAAACAGTCACAGGCAATATAATAACCCCAGGTAAAAATCATTTGCAAGTCTGCAAATAATAAAATAATAAGTTGGTTAAAAGATTGAATGAATTTCTTTATTTCTGTGAGGACAAAAATTTACTTTATTACCAATTTTGTGGGCTGCAGAAAAAAGTAATACAACACAGTGTAACCAATTAGTGTTGGCAGGGTGTAATAAGTAAAGTTATAATATTACTTTTGAAAAGAGTACAGGGTAATGAGTAATACATTATTGTGTTATTTGCCCAACAGTGTTTATAACAAATCCAAGCTTTGACTGCCTGTGACAGTTGATCCTTCTTTTATAGGCTGTCAGTGTCTCTATGCAAAGTGAACTTCCTCACAGTCTGCTATAAAGACTTGATATCATGCTGTCAGATGCAGCAGAAGAAGAGAAGCTCCCATCAGATCACCTTCAATACCAACCATGTTCTCTGTAGCTCTGCTGCTGCTGCTGGCTGCTGGATCCTGTGAGTCTCACTGAGGCAGAGACACTGACAGTATGATCACAGCACACTGACTGTTCACTGTTATCACACTGATTCAATATTCAACATGTTTTCCTCCACAGGTGTAAAGTGTGAACAGTTGACACAGCCAGCCTCTGTGACTGTGCAGCCAGGTCAACGTCTGACCATCACCTGTCAGGTCTCTTATTCTCTGGGCAGCTACTACACAGCTTGGATCAGACAGCCTGCAGGGAAAGGACTGGAGTGGATTGGAAGGGCAGCTGTTGGTTACACAACATATTACAAAGATTCACTGAAGAACAAGTTCAGTATCGACTTAGACTCTTCCAGTAACAAAGTGACTCTAAACGGACAGAATGTGCAGCCTGAAGACTCTGCTGTGTATTACTGTGCCAGAGAGACACAATAACACAAACCATCAGTAGACCTGAACAAAAACCCCTCAGTGCCTGAACACTTGTAAAATGAAGCCACCAGAGGAGGAGCCCTCAGACCACTAATGATTTCAACACCAGTTCACTGTTACAGTGAAGAGAGAAAGAGGCCTAATAAGATTTGAAAAGGTAAATTAATATAAGATGGTTCATTAAGATATTGAATAATAATATCAAACACACAGTGTTTACAGAACATGTTTTTTTCCTTCTGTCTCAAAAATAAAAATTATGGAATTTCTTTGTATTGACTGAAAAACATGGGTATTCATGGCATCCATGGACTGAAGAGTTACATGTTATTCATGTATTTAATGCTTAATTAATATTCTCAAATGTATTCTTCACTATTATTGCTACTCAATTTTTTTTTCTCCTGAAATCTTGAAAATGGTATGACTTATGAACACTTGAAAGACATTTTCTTGTGAGAAAATCACTATTGTAACATAATGAAGAACATTTGTTAGGGTGTTATTTGACATTCATTTACATTAAAATGTAAAAATACTCACTTTAGGTGTATGGTAAAATTGATAAACTATTGTTGAGGTCTTCACATGATGCAGACTGTGGTCTTTAATATGGTCTTTAATAAGGGTCAACCAACTTAAATAATGTGTTTGTCAACCTGTTGCACAAATTATACTTAAACATGCAAGAGGGACTCTTGGAGGAATGACTAATGTACAGTAAACATTCATTCTGCAGTTTCACCAAACATCAACTGAGATCCAAGTAAATCCAGTTCCACACTGTGAGGAGGAGTCAATGCAAAACTCAGATGTCTTCCACCTCTACTTATCTGACTGCAGAGAGGATGACAGAGAACAGTGGACACACAGTTTAACATGATGGACTATAGGACAGGACTGCTGCTGTTAACTATCTGCTGGGCAGGTGAACATCTTCACTGATCTTTAGTTGACATATTTTCATTTTGTGCTGCCAATGTAACACATGACATGAACAGCTTTCTTTGTTTGACAGGTGTTGATGGTCAGACTCTGACAGAATCTGAACCAGTGGTTAAAAGGCCTGGAGAATCTCACAGATTGACCTGTACAGCCTCTGGATTCACATTCAGCAGCTACTGGATGAACTGGGTCAGACAGGCTCCTGGAAAAGGACTGGAGTGGATTGCTATTATCAAATATGACAGTGCTGATATCTACTACTCTCAGTCAGTTCAAGGCCGGTTTACCATCTCCAGAGACAACAGCAGACAGCAGGTGTATCTGCAGATGAACAGTCTGAAGACTGAAGATTCTGCTGTTTATTATTGTGCTCGAGACTCACAGTGACTGGAGTTGGTTGAGCAGCTGTACAAAATCCTACAGCACTCATCTTTACTTTACTTCAGAAAGATCTGTATTTTATTTTGTTTTTATTTTTTTCTTTATGAATACATAACAATATGTGAGGAAGATCATCTAATAACAATAACAATTAAGCACCTAAATAAATAAAATGTCTTCCTTTAATGATCACTTCTTCACAAATCAGCCAATGACAGCCAAACAGTCTGATGAAATCACTGTCCAGGTCTGAATAAAAGAAAGACATGCAGCTACACATTAATGTTTATATCATTTGGTATCTAAAGTAGCTAACAGTATGAGAGTGAAAAATAATGTCACAGTTCCAGTTATAAAGACACTAGAGGGCAGTCAGTGTCAACTTTCTCTCTCCTCTGTTACTAAAAGAAGAAACTTAGATCTGCTGTTCTCATTGATCTTAACTGACTGACACTTGAACTCTGGACTGAACTAAAGATTAATACTCCTGCTGCTCATGTACACTGGATATTGTGAGAGTTGATACTTTTCTATCCTAAACAAAAGTCTTGTGTTAACTTCATTCAGCACAATTTGAACACTAAAGTTGGACTATAAGGTGTTCAGGTAACTTACGAACTACTTTAGTTTTCATCAAAGCATTTGTCACACAGGTTTCAGTACCTGAGCAGCTGTTTTCCTCTTGAGGCTCCAAGTTTCTCTGTATGTCTTCAAACATCTGCAAACACTGAAACCATTAAAAGTCTTTTATGCAAACCAGCAGCATCACACTGAAGTTTACATGATCCTTGCTGTCACTATATTTCTGTTTGCAGTGATTACAATATGTGAGCGACTAAATGCTAATGCTGCAGTAAAACGCTGTGCTCATACTTTAATCAGGAATATGGTGTCATATTCAAATTCTGTATTGAACACATTGAACACACTGTAAACATGGTTCATAGAAAGCAACATTCTGGTTGCTCTTTTGTTTCATTGCGTGCACATTAGCATTGTTATTGCAATACTGATTTTATTGAATATGTTTTCCATTATCCATGATTTATGTTCACATTAAGAATAGCAATAATTAGGGGGGCGCTGTGGAGCCGCGGACCAAGATGGCAGCTTAGGGTGGGTGCTCCTTGCAGCTCTGCTAAAAGTTCACAAAGTCCTAGTCATTAACGCTTCTAATTAGTTCCAAAAGATGTCTAAACAAACAACGCTCAAAGACTGTGAGAGCAGCTCCAGATCCCGTGGCTCTCAGAGACCCAAAACTACAACTAATGCGGCAGCCGATGATGCTAACGATGCGGCTAGCCCACGGACTGACTTAGCTGCGGTGCTAAGTGAGCTGCAGTCACTGTGTACGGCTGTCAGTAGGGCTGGGCGATAATTCGGGATTGCGATAAAATTTTGATCGATTTCGATAATAAGCTTGGGACATATTATTCGATATCACATGAAAAAGTAAGCGCAACAACAACAGTATCAGAGTCTACCGGCTGCCGTATGCCGGTAGGACACGCCCACTTCCCATTGTGAGCAGCGTGGCTACATTTAGGGGGAAAGAAGTTGGAAAAAGGAGAAAAAATTAGCGAAACTGAAGTCGAGGACAGCGAAAAAATAATGTCGAACGTAAAAGCGACATCACTACATCACCCGAGACCGAAGACATTGTTGAAAAAAAGGTAACACGACGTCAATTGTGTGGACGTGGTTTGGATACGGCAAAATCGACCAGGAGCAGGCGAGGCCAATCTGCAAAATATGCCGGCGGTTGGTACCAGCCAGGACGGGAAACACAACAAATCTTTTCCATCACCTGAGACGGCACCACCCCAGTAATTGCACTGAGAGTGTGACTCTGCGGGCTCAAGCTGGCACGACACCACACACACAGCCAAGCAAAACCACTACGTCTGCCGTTAGCATCGCTAGCGGGAGCGGCTCTGTTAAACAACAACAATCCATCCAGTCGTGCTTTGCAGCCATTGAAATGAAAAACAATCAAAGCGGAGCAAAAATATAACAACGCTATTACTTATTGCCTCGCTAAAGATATGTGCGAGTGTAATGTGAATCCTTTGTCTGCATGAAGACCTTAACAAAAACATTTTGTGCTCATTATTGGAAGGCATATTCTTTAATTTTTTATTAAACTTTATAATAAAGTTTCAGTGAATCTCTTGTTTCTTCAAGCTTCAGGATGTCCCAGACACTGGCAGCATCTGTAAAAGCTACATATCGTGATAAGAATCGAGATCGATCAATATGGAAAAAAAAAAAAAATCCATATCGCCCAGCCCTAGCTGTCAGCGTGATTAACACCAAGATAAGTACTTTTGACGGCTTTGAGGTAAAACTTGACAACGTGGAGAAACGCATAGCTGAGATGAATAGCTCTGTTGATGCTGTGCAAAAGAGCTTTGCGGTCCTTCAACAAGATATTACCACTAATGCTAAGCGGCTCACAGAGGCTGAAGGGCGCATAGGGGACACCGAAGACAGCCTGCAGAGTGTGAAAACGGAGCAGACTGACGCCGCTAAATGCATCGCCTTTTTAGAGTCTAAGACGGAAGACCTAGAAAATCGTGCTCGGAGAAAGAACTTAAAACTGGTGGGGCTCCCCAAAAACGCTGAAAAGACCCAGCCCATGACTGATTACATCCAGCGTATGTTTCCTGGTCTGGCTGAGGCTCGACGCCGCCAAGTCTTTCACCTTGGAAAGAGCGCACCGCACTCTGGCAAGACTAGGACCAGATCAGAGGAGAGCTGTAATCAATTGTTTCCTGCGATTTCAAGACCGGAAGTTTGTCTTCAACACATCCAAACAACGCCCGCTCTCTCACGATGGTCACAAAATCTTCTTTACTCAAGATCTATCAGCGGAAACCATGAAGGTGCGGAGCTTATTCAATGCAGTGACGGAAAAGTTCATTGAAGCGGGAACTTTTCGGGGATTCAGCCTACGCCCTTGTAAAATGAGGGCTCTCCACAACGGGAAGATAGTCCTTTTCTCCACACCAGAAGAAGCTGAGAACTTCCTCCCAAACTCCTAAACTTCTAATGCCGAGGAATATAGGTAACTATAGATTTCAAAGGTTAAGTGTTTTCTTATATGTCAGTTCTTACTACTTTCATTTATTCTATTCTTTTATTTTTTGTCACACTCAACATGGTCATCTATCTCACTGCACTTGAAACAACATGGAAAGTCCAAAACTGTCTGATTTAAGATTTACCGTTGTCGCCGGCGCCATTCCATGGCAATAAGCTAATTAAACTGAAACAGGTAATGAACAGACTTAAAAACCTACATTCTAAAATTATTTTTCTTCAGGAAATTCATATTACATATTATCATATTGTCACTGAAATCAAGTAGGTGGCCTGGTCAAGTTATACATGCCACATATAACAATTATGCTCGGGGCTTACTAATTCTTATCCACAAAACAATTCCTTTTCAACTTACTAATATTATCCGGGACCCCCAAGGAATGTTTGTAATCGCTCAGGGTAGGATCCTGTCTCTAGCATTGAATTTGGCCAACATATATGGTCCTAATGAGGACAACCCAAAATTTTTTGAAGATTTCTTCTTAACATTGTCTTCATTGTATGGCCTAAATATTATTGGTGGGGATTTCAATTGCACTTTGAACCTGTCAGATCAACACTAACCAAACTAACGCATGCATTAGATGGGTAGCCTTCAAGGCATATATTAGAGGGCAAATTATTAGTTTCACAAGCACTAAAAACAAGAAAAAAAAAGCAGAAATTAATAAATTAGAGAAGCAAATAAAATCTTTGGAAATAGATATAAATAATAAAGACGACCCTAAAAAAACAAAAACACTTACTAATTTTAAGAATGGAATACAATAAATTAACATCTGATAAAGCAGCAAAAAGTTTACTGTGGTTGAACCAGGCTTTTTATGATCAGGGAGAAAAGGCCGGCAAATTGTTAGCTTTGAGATTTAAAAAAATACAATCTGAAAGAGCTATTAATGGCATAACTACTCAATCAGGGGAGATATCAAACGATCCTCAAGATATTAATAATACATTTAAGGAATTTTATCAATCACTGTACAGGTCAGAATGCTCCCCCACACCCGCTTATAGAGATGCCTTTCTTAATCAGCTCAAGTTTGAAATGCTCACCAAGGAGGTTAAAGAGGACCTAGATAAGGACATAACGGTGGAAGAGCTATTGCAGGCCATTAAAAGTATCAACTCAGGCAAAGCTCCAGGGCCTGATGTCCTGCCAATAGAGTTTTATAAAACCTTCCAGAAGCAGTTGTTGACCCAACTCTTGAATATGTTTAACAAGTCATTTAATAATGGTATATTACCACCAACTTTAAGACTCGCAATACAATACAATACAATAATTCTTATTTTGAAACCCGGGAAAACGCCAACCGACTGCTCCTCGTACAGGCCTATTAGTCTTATGGGAGTAGACACAAAAATATTGTGTAAAGTTCTTGCTAAAAGGCTAGATCCATATATATCCCTTCTTTGGTACATAGTGATCAGAATGGGTTCGTACAGAATCGTCAGGGATTTCATAACATAGAAGGGTCCTCAACATAATCCACTTGAAAAATAACACCAGGGATACAGCGCTGTTATCTTTAGACGCTAAACAAACGTTTGATAGAATCAAGTGGCCTTATTTGTTCAATTTGTTACCAAGATATGGACTTTGGGGGAAATTTCTGAAATGGATAGAATTATTGTATACCAACCCTACAGGACGTGTAATGACGAATAACAATTTATCAAGCTTGTTAATGTTAGAGAGGTAAACCCGTCAGGGCTGTCCTCTCTCCACACTATTGTTCATTTTGGCTATTGAGCCTTCAGCCATGTCCATTAGAGCTAAAGCCAATTTGTCAGGTATAACAATTGGAGGTCACGAACATAGGATATCGTTGTATGCAGACGACGTGATCCTTTTTTTGTCAAACTTATCAAACAGTGTACCAGACATTATTACATTTAATTAATACATTTGGTCAGTTTTCTGGATACAGTATTAATAATGCTAAATCTTCTATACTTTTCTTGAACAAAGATGATAGAGCTAATCCAGTTATAAGTACACCCTTTTCTAATGCGAGGGAGGGCTTTACCTATCTTGGAATTAAGATTACCCCCCAAATTAATACAGTTGCTGAAGCAAACTATGACCCGTTGATGAGAGAAGTACAGGACTTACTTGAAAAATGGACAACAATGCCAATATCAATGATTGGCCGGATCAACATAATTAAGATGACTATCTTGCCAAAATTCTTGTATTTGTTTCAATCACTCCCAAAACCACTGCCAAAATCCTTTTTTAAAGAAAACAAAAGTGCATTTTGTAGGTTTATCTGGAACAATAGAAAACCTAGACTAAGACTCAGATTATTGTATTTGCCATATGATAGGGGTGGATTACAGATGCCCAGTTTACGGTGGTATTACTGGGCCGCTCAGCTGCGCAGTCCTGTTTTATTTTGTCACACACTCCCCTCCAGCATGGGTTTATATTGAACAAGCATCAATATCTAAGCTGCCATTAAGCCTATATTTATATTCAGCAGATTTTAAAACTTTAAAGAACAAAAACAACAAATCCCTTCCTGAAAAATTCTATTGATATATGGTTTAAAGCTCACAGACATATCGGTGATACACCCCCCCATCTCTCAATTTTCACCTGTTTGGGATAATGCACAGTTTACTCCTGGCAGGGCAGGTGGTGGTTTTCAGGTTTGGGCTGACAGGGGGGTGCAAAAAATTGGGGACTTATATGTTCAGGGCACTTTTTTAACAACCTTTGTTTGAAGTATTCAATCCCAAAGAAACACTTTTTGTAAATACTTAAAATTGAAGCATTTCATCTCGTCAAAGCATCACCAAGCTACACGTGAGCCGCTGCTGCCCTGCCTTGAGGGCATTGTGTTAAAACACATGAATGGGAAACGGCAAATCTCTACACTATATACAGCACTTGTCTCGCATGATGAGGAATCTAGTCATGTTAGAAGGAGGGCATGGAGTTTAGATATTAAGGAAGCTATTGAAGAAGCTGAGTGGGCGACAGCTTGTTTAAAAGCTCAATCACAAACCATTAATACTCGAATGTAACTGCTACAACATAAGTGGTTAATGAGGACATACATAACCCCTGAGACACTCAATAAATGGCCCCCTGGCATTCCAGATACATGTGTGAAATGTTTGACTGAGAGAGGTACTTTGATTCATTGTGTATGGGAATGTCCTAAGCTGGTAACTTTTTGGAAATTGGTTGTCCGCACTCTAAGTAAAATCACAGGTATTTAGTTACCCTGCGTAGATAAACTTTCTATTTTAGGGATATACCCAGATCGCTTCTCTGTTAACTCTAAGTGTAAGACTCTGATCAACTTTGGCCTCCTGCAGGCCAGGAGGATGGTTGCTCTGTCTTGGAGAGAGACTGAAGTATCCTCTACACAATCCTGGATTAGCGAGATGGCAATGTGTGTTAAATTAGAAAAGCTAACCTATGTCATTAGGGATAAAGTGCAAGAATTTGAAGAGGTGGTTCTTTTTTTTTGTTTATTTACTTATTATTGTTGTCATTATTATTAATGTATATTTTTATTTTTATTTTTGCATGTGTCTGTATGCAGTGAGGTCTGCCTGCATGTCATTGTGCAACTAATGTGGTATTTGTTGATGTGTTTTGTGTGTTCTTATTGAAAATCAATAAAAAACATTGTTCAAAAAAAAAAGAAAAAAGAATAGCAATAATTATCAATAGTTGTTGCAGTTATTTAACTGACAAGTTTTAATATTGAAATGTAGCCAATACAATACATTTAGACCTTAATCATTAATACCCTTGAAAAGTTTACAGTTATTTGATTTCTCTCACTATCACTGTAAATGTGAAGTCTGATTTTCAAAATGTTACAGTTGAGTGTGTAATGAAGTTAAAATATCATATGTAAAGCAGAGGTGATTTCCAGGCATGTTTTCACTCTGCAGATATAATAACAGTCAACAGACTCTTCTATTGGCTCCAGTTAGACCAACATTGATGCTTCATATGTTTGATTCTATGCAAACTCAGTGACCTTCCTTGTTACTCAGCTATAAAAACTTCCCATCAGGCTGTCAGTGGACTTCACAGCACGTCAGTTTCAACATAAACCATGTTCTCTGTAGCTCTGCTGCTGCTGTTGGCAGCTGGATGTGAGTCTCTCTGGATTTGTCAAAGTCAACAGTTATTCTTTTGCAGTATAACTTGATCATTTCTTACAAAACTGTCACGATCCGCCGGCCGTGACCCTGGCCTCCTTCATGGTATGTGCGTGAATGTAGTTTTTGTGTTCTTTTTCTCCCTTTTGGTGTGCCTGCTGTGTGCTTGGTGTGTTTTGGTTTGGCATCCGTCTCTGTGTTTTGCTCTCTCCCTCATGCTCTGGAAGCCACTGGTGGGCGTGGTCGCTGGAGCTCCTGCCTACAAACCTGCGGCTCATCACACCACTCCAGCACACCTGTTCCTCATCCTACAATCAACTCACCTTTATAAGCCAGGCCGACCTTCCATTCCCTGCTGGATTGTTGAATCAGCTAGTATGAGAACATGCCAGCCAACCTGAACTTGCACTCAGTTTCTTGGAGTCTTGTGAAATACCTGTTGCTAACTCGCTCTTTCCCCTGTCTCACCTCAGACCATCTTACCCTGAGCCTTGACCCAGTTCTGCCTGCCAGCACCGCAAGACCTAGCACTGGAGCTCGGACCCCATTCCCACTCTCTGACTCATCAGAATCTCCAGCCACTCAAACCACGTTCTGTTTGTGCAACTCAAATAAATTCACCTTTATTGAAACTTCAACTCTGGTCTGCGTCTGAGTTCTGGTCACTGGTCCTGACACAAAACATTTTTCTAACAGGTGTGAAGTGTGAACAGTTGACACAGCCAGCCTCTGTGACTGTGCAGCCAGGTCAACGTCTGACCATCACCTGTCAGGTCTCTTATTCTTTTAGCAGCTACTACACAGCTTGGATCAGACAGCCTGCAGGGAAAGGACTGGAGTGGATGGGGCCTCATTTACTATGATGCCACAGACAAATGCACACAACCAGTATTCAGAAACTGTGCCTTTCAACCAACTGTCAGAACTTCCATAAGGTTGTGATTGAACTATACAGTCGCCACCATCAGCCATGCTCCCAGTGAGTGAGTACAGTGGGTACGGAAAGTATTCAGACCCCTTTAAAATGTTCACTCTTTGTTTCATTGCAGCCATTTGCTAAAATCAAAAAAGTTCATTTTATTTCTCATTAATGTACACTCAGCACCCCATCTTGACAGAAAAAAACAAATGTAGAAATTTTTGCAAATTTATTAAAAAAGAAAAACTGAAATATCACATGGTCATAAGTATTCAGACCCTTTGCTGTGACACTCATATTTAACTCACATGCTGTCCATTTCTTCTGATCCTCCTTGAGATGGTTCTGCTCCTTCATTGGAGTCCAGCTGTGTTTAATTAAACTGATTGGACTTGTTTAGGAAAGGCACACACCTGTCTATATAAGACCTTACAGCTCACAGTGCATGTCAGAGCAAATGAGAATCATGAGGTCAAAGGAACTGCCCAAGGAGCTCAGAGACAGAATTGTGGCAAGGCACAGATCAGGCCAAGGTTACAAAAGAATTTTTGCAGCACTCAAGGTTCCTAAGAGCACAGTGGCCTCCATAATCCTTAAATGGAAGAAGTTTGGGACGACCTGAACTCTTCCTAGACCTGGCCGTCCAGCCAAACTGAGCAATCGTGGGAGAAGAGCCTTGGTGAGAGAGGTAGAAGAACCCAAAGATCACTGTGGCTGAGCTCCAGAGATGCAGTAGGGAGATGGGAGAAAGTTCCACAAAGTCAGCTATCACTGCAGCCCTCCACCAGTCGGGCCTTTATGGCAGAGTGGCCCGACGGAAGCCTTTCCTCAGTGCAAGACATATGAAAGCCTGCATAGAGTTTGCCAAAAAACACATGAAGGGCTCCCAGACTATGAGACAGAAGATTCTCTGGTCTGATGAGACCAAGATTGAACTTTTTGGCGTTAATTCTAAGCGGTATGTGTGGAGAAAACCAGGCACTGCTCATCACCTGCCCAATACAATCCCAACAGTGAAACATGGTGGTGGCAGCATCAGGCTATGGGGATGTTTTTCAGCTGCAGGGACAGGACGACTGGTTGCAATTGAAGGAAAGATGAATGCGGCCAAGTACACAGATATCCTGGAAGAAAACCTCTTCCAGAGTGCTCAGGACCTCAGACTGGGCCGAAGGTTCACCTTCCAACAAGACAATGACCCTAAGCACACAGCTAAAATAACAAAGGAGTGGCTTCAGAACCTCTGACCATTCTTGACTGGCCCAGCCAGAGCCCTGACCTAAACCCAATTGAGCATCTCTGGAGAGATCTGAAAATGGCTGTCCACCAACTTTCACCATCCAACCTGACAGAACTGGAGAGGATCTGCAAGGAAGAATGGCAGAGGATCCCCAAATCCAGGTGTGAAAAACTTGTTGCATCATTCCTAAGAAGACTCATGGCTGTACTAGCTAAAAAGGGTGCTTCTACTCAATACTGAGCAAAGGGTCTGAATACTTATGACCATGTGATATTTCAGTTTTTCTTTTTTAATAAATTTGTAAAAATTTCTATATTTCTGTTTTTTTTTTTTCTGTCAAGATGAGGTGCTGAGTGTACATTAATGAGAAATAAAATGAACATTTTTGATTTTAGCAAATGGCTGCAATGAAACAGAGTGAAAAATTTAAAGGGGTCTGAATACTTTCCTTACCCACTGTATGTGTTGGGCAGTTACTCCCTGATAGACAGAGAATTAAATAAGAGTTATTTTACTGTTACAAATACAGATAAGAGTCACCACAGATCATAAATGGCATTTTCTTGTTTTATATTCTAGTCCTCTACTTTACATTAATTATTTTTTTAAATTGTGCCATCATATAGTATTTGTTTCTCATAGACAGTTTCTGGTTTTAGTTTGTGTTATTGAAAAATGACAGAAAACTTTTAAACTCTTGAAGACAATTCAAATTAAGTATTAAATTCAGATTTGCCTGAATCAGATTTATTTGGCTGATGTCACAACTCCTACATTATCGTTTCTCAAGTGCAACAAACTAAAGACAAAACTCTGTCCTCCCTGTGAGGACGAGTCAATGCAGAATGTAGTTGTCTTCCACCTTTAATTATCTGACTGCAGACAGTGACAAAGCTTTTAGTTTTTACTGCAACTTTTGTTTTACACAAGGTAACAGAGTTTATATGTCTGAGTGGACAATTTATTTCTATTGACTGAAAACAGTTCTCAGCAGTTTTAAAAATAAAATAAAATAATAAAATAAAAATAATTGAAAAAGTGAAAGGAATACAACATGGTTCATTATAATACAGAAACATAATATCTAACATAAAGGGGATTTTACAAAACACGTCATCTTAGTCTGCCTCAAAAATATAAATTATGGAATAAGTTACATGTAATTCCTGTATTTAATGCTAATTAAAATTCTTTAATGTATTATCACTATTATTGATACCCAGGTTTTGCACAAATTATATTGAAACATGCAAGAGGGTCCGTGTATGTTCTGGTCATTGGATTTTCCTTTCAGAAACGGGTATTAAAAAACAGAAAACGAGTGGTTATTTGATTTTCGTTTTAAAATACAAAAATGAAAATTGAAATGCAAGGCGTTTTTCTTTTTCATGGTCAAAAAGGGATGAGCGAAATTTAAAAAATTATTCGATTTTCATTTTCTATTTCATATAACAAAAAATAAAATCACTAGAAAACAGAAACAGAAAAAGGCCTGTTTTTTCATATTCTGAGACCGGATGTTGTCATTAACAGGACGGTGCTGTGTAGAAGAAACAGTAGACTAGTAGACTGCGGTCAATCCAGCCGTGAGTCCGATCTCCGTGGTCAAATCAGCCGCACTTAAATTTAGAGTGTACAAGTATTCTCAGCATTATGGTAAATGCGGAGAAACAGCGTATTTACTTCTGGTTTTCAAAATAAAGGTATTTAGAGCCGTAAGCTATAATTAAAATATGTTACATTAAAGTGTTGTGTGCCCCTGATGAATAAAAAAACACTTCATATCAAGTATCTTTACTGCACCAGTGTGGAGAAATACCAAAATAAAAGTCCATATTTGTATCTCCAAGTGGTATTTTCATATATTTGAGCTACTGTAAAAACACTGCTCAATAATTCCTGGCTATGGATGATATATTTGACTTCTACACATCTGAGACTACAAGTATACTTAATATCAAGCATTTTTACAGTACCAATGTGGAGAAATTGAAGAATAAAAGTCCCATATTTATATTTCCAGATTCCATATTTTCTTATATTTGAGCTACTGTAAAAATGTAAACTGTATGTGGAACCACCTGCAACAGCTGTCACACTGAATAATATAAAAAAATAATATGTGAGGAAGAGACAGTAGGTACAATGGTGTTTTGAAGTTAAAACTAATTATTTTTTCCTTTTACCTACAAATGGACACAGCAGAGCTGCAAAATAAGAAGAATGTGGACTGGCATTGCATTTTGTGTGAAAAGTAAACAAATTAGAATTGTGTAGGATTTTGTGTTTAGTGTTTAGTGTTTATATTATCAAGATGTTATTTAACATTTGTGTGAAATTTTGTCACGATTACTGCATCATTATTGAAGTATAATGAAAATGCTTCACCCATAGCCTGGAAATATTGAGCAATATGTTTTTACAGTAGCTCAAAAATATAAGAAAATATGGAATCTGGAAGTATAAATATGGGACTTTTATTCTTCAATTTCTCCACATTGGTACAGTAAAAATGCTTGATATTAAGTATACTTGTAGTCTTAGATGTGTAGAAGTCAAATATACCATCCATAGCCAGGAATTATTGAGCAAAGTGTTTTTACAGTAGCTCAAATATATGAAAATATGCCACATGGAGGTACAAATATGGACTTTTATTGTTGAATTTCCTCAAATTGGTACAGTAAAAATGCTTGATATTAAGTATGTTTGTAGTCTCATATGTGTAAAAGTCAAATATACCATCAGTAGCCAGGAAACACTGAGCAATATGTTTTTACAGAACCTCAAATATGGTCAAATATGCAATCTCTGGAGGCATAAATATGAGACTTTTATTTTGGCATTTCTCCACACTGGTGCAGTAAAGATACTTGATATAAAGTGTTTTTTTATTCATCAGGGGCGCATGAAACACTTTAATGTAACATATTTTAATTATAGCTTACTGTTCTAAATACCTTTATTTTGAAAACCGGAAGTAAATACGTTGTTTCTCCGCATTTACCATAATGCTGAGAATACTTGTACACTCTAAATTTAAGTGCGGCTGATTTGACCACGGAGATCGGACTCACGGCTGGATTGACCGCAGTTTACTAGTCTACTGTTTCTTCTACACAGCACCGTCCTGTAAATGACAACATCCGGTCTCAGAATATGAAAAAACAGGCCTTTTTTCCGTTTCTGTTTTCTAGTGATTTTATTTTTTGTTATATGAAATAGAAAATGAAAATCGAATAATTTTTTTAATTTCGCTCATCCCTTTTTGACCATGAAAAAGAAAAACGCCTTGTATTTCAATTTTCATTTCTGTATTTTAAAACGAAAATCAAATAACCACTCGTTTTCTGTTTTTTAATACCCGTTTCTGAAAGGAAAATCCAATGACCAAAACATACACGGACCCAAGAGGGACTCTTGGAGGAATGACTAATGTACAGTAAACATTCATTCTGCAGTTTCACCAAACATCAACTGAGATCCAAGTCAAATCCAGTTCCACAC